CACGTGCGCTCGGCTTGGCGTCTCGCTGCGATCGCATATATACGCTCCCCTCTATAGCAGATGACGAATGGCGGGAGGCTGCGGTCCATCCATTGTTGGTCCCGCGGCTTTTTTTTTTTGTCCCCGAGAGCCACGTTTCTCGAGACTACCGCTCAGCAAAAACAAAAGAGAGCCGCGGACAGCTGCGTGCGCTGCTGCACAACTTCGTTGCACAGACGCACGTATTGGACGCAACGGGAGATTGCAACGCTGCAGCTGCGTCAAAAGACTGACTGCAAGGAAGGAAAGACGCGACTCTGGTAAGTCGCGCGGGGAGATTCGTTCGCGTCTCGCGCAAGGAGGATTGCAGCGCGTGCGGATTGAAGCATTAATGTTCCAGCGAAGCATCAGCTGTGTGGCGACTCGGTTTTGATATTAGGTCAGTCACTACGGGAACAGGTGGGACGAATGAACGTATTTAGGATAATAATGTTGCAAAACCACGATATGGTTATGAGAGATGCCATCGTGGAGGGCTCTGGCAATTTAGACCATCTGGTGTTCTTCAATGAGAAGTACACGGGCCTCAAATATTCCACCACAACCGAAATTCGATCGAAACCGCGACCATATAGGGTCAGCAACAGAGCACCGCAACCACTGTCCCACCCGAGGTGGACGGAATTAGGCGAAATACTTGTTTATATTAGAGACGAAAAAATTCATGTACACGGTCGTTCCTAATGCTTCGACCAGCGGTCTTGTCGGATTCAAGTTTGCAGCCACTTGGAGAATGACAAGATCGCTTGTTGAAACGGGTCGAGCGACGTAACGGTTATCACGAATTTTTAGTATCTTCAAGTTCCCATCGTTTCCTGAAAGGTCTGGCTCGCTATGAAATATTAGAATAGCACACCCAAAGGTTTGCTGTGAGCGATCGCTTTGACTTGTCGCAACTGCGCATGCCGCATACGTCAACCATTCTTCGAATAAGCCTGTCTTCTAAAACACCTACGGTTGAAAATCCTTGAACATTTTATTTACTTCAAGCTACAATCTTTGACTCAACTTAATATCTTTTGCCGCGCTTACGCAAAAACAGCGAACATAATTTACCTAAGGACCAGTTGCTAATTCCCAACACGATATTGAGCGGTGGCCACTAATGTTGTCTTGCCATCAGTTGTGACGTCACAAATACAGTCACAATGTTCGTCGCGACTGCAGGTTATAACCACAAGCGTGTGCACGGGGGGGGGGGAGCCCCTTCCTGCCAATTACCCAAGAGGAGGGGGCGCAAAGTCTGCTGCATACATTGACTAGTAGAGGGGGGAGGGCGCTGCCATGAATCTTTGCATCCCCTTGAAGGCAACCCTGCAGATGCTTATAGTTATAACTGGAGTCAAGGTTACGTATGCTTGCTATAAAAAAGGTGAAGAAGTTAGAGTTTAAACGAATTGCCTGATTTATATGTAGGTCTGGTTTATGTGAAAAAAATCAATGTACTTTTATCTCGTATTGCCACGCTCGAAACGCGATTTGCAGCGCTTTGCGTATTCTGCGACGACAAACAAGTTCATAAATCAAAATGGTGTCATTTTCACTTACACTGTATGACGGCAACACCTTAGCGCTGTCAAAGTGAATGTAGATTATGTTAATATTCCAATATGCTAAAGCGTTTTGGAGTGAGGCTCCTTTGAAACTAAACAAAAAAAAAATGACTGCTATATGTAGAAATGGGCGCAGACATCAGTTACTAATACATCTTTCACGGTGACACTGGCTGATAGGACTAACAAGTATACTGCGGAACTTTAGTTCGTGAAACTACACAGATAGTATAGGGAGCAATATCCGCTGGAACACTGCAATAACTTTCTAAATGCCATAGCGGCTTAACGCAGTTGGTATTCGCAAAGCATGACACTTAATGCGCAACCGAGAGGGTGTTTCCTGGCATTCACACCAGTGCACAACGAAGTATTCGTTGAATAATTAGGAATCGTGCATGCTAGCTCATATTGCTCACCATAGTACCCTCAGCGAACCTTGAAGCAACTTTTAGAGGGATGGATCGGCCGTAAATTGCAGAAAAAGATTCCGAAGTTGCGACTTTGTGTTTTCTTATATTTATAAGCACGTTAGTTCGAGCTTTGATGTTTGGTATCGATGGTGCCTCCGTGCAGTGCACGCTTTGGGAATATGAAGTTCCCTGCGTTTGGTGTTCAAACAAGTACAATGTAAAATCGCCCAAATAGTTAGATATCGTGCAAGAGTGGCAGGTTCTTTTGTGTATCATTTCCATATAACTGAACCAAATGGTGATGGCAAGGGCATGACCATAAAGCATATGCCCGCAAAACTTTTTTTTTTTCTTTTGCAACTTCGTTCCATCATATATGGCGCTGACAGATGGAGAAGTCACTTATAAGCACGATAAAGTTAAAGATTTGGGCGAACCGTACATGTACAATGAGAAGAAGTGGGATCTGCGAAAGTGATGTGGCATTACATGTGACGGGCACCGCTTCGCCGGGGCATTGCTGAATATTATTTAACACGAGGCCGTTTATCCGGACCCTGTGTCGTCGGCATTGTCAACGTGATAACGCCAAAATGTCACGTGACGAAGATGTAGAGGGGGTTCGTAGAGAGGAAAGAGAGAAAGCGAAACAGAGACCACGTGATAAAGCTAATGTAAGGCGTGCCATTCAGCGTGATCCGAAAGTGGGTTCACGGGATGCAGCTTACACAAGGCGGGTAATTTAAACAGTATGTTGAGAGAGGATCTGTTGCTCTGGAATGGCTGTTGGTAGATTGGGGGTGACAGTGAAAGACTTAGCGAAATGAGAGAAGAGCCTGGACTCTGGAGCAAAGGTCGGCAATTTCACTCATGAGTTGATTCACTTACGCTCTCTCCGACTCAGATTGGATTGTGAGTTTGAGTGAGCTTGGGTGAGCAATATTTTGGAGAGTTCGAGTCCGAGCGAGGATGGCTGTGGAAAATGCTTAGTGACTCTGAGGCCGAGTGAGCGACGCCGAGGAAAATATCGATGAGTATGAGTAAGCCCTTCGCACAAAATATATATTTTTTTAGTGAGTCTGAGTTAGCTCCACCTTTAATTGCTGACCTATGGTCTAGGGGGATCCACGCCTTCCAGAGTCGTCGACTGCAACTAAAGAGATAACTTTGCCTAAATAAACAACAAAACATTGACTTGAAAGTGACTGGACAAAACAAAAGTACAAACTTAAAGGGACTGAACGAAAGGAGCAGTACTTTCGTTACCTGGCAGCTTTCGCGGCGTATCAAGACTTGTTTATTGCTATAAGGTGTTGCGGAACATTTGTTTTTGTTTTGTTGGTGTCATCGCTAGTGTGTTACCTTTCCTGCAGCCGCTTGCGTCGCGAAACTATGAGAGCTTCGAAAGACATCTTACCACACGAGTCACACGTGTGCTTGTTCACGCCGATTCGCAGCTCATTTGTCCACTGCGTAGCACTCGCTATGCACTTTGTTATGTTGTGTAAACCTCGACACCTTCGAAATAACCGAGACCCCCTTTCTTTTTTTCTTTCCGGATTTTCCACAGACTGCTAATGCGTGTATGCACGGACGCGCGATGGTTGCATACTTAGTGTCGTGTCCGCCACGGAAACGCATATGGGGAAGCCCTGCCGCAGAGAAGCATATTGTGACGCCCCTTCGCAGTGGGAAGGAGGCCAAGGGTTCGCTCAGTTGCAGCATCATGGTCGCCCGCTTGCAAAAAAGTCAGTACGGAGAGATCCAGTGTGCGCAAGTCTGTGGTCGTGTGGTAGCGAAATCCACGTGGTTTAAAGGTTGAAATTAGGCCCCAGTCCTCCATTACAACAGGCACGCAGATCAAATGGCAATCGTGAAACGTGAGACGTAGAGTTTGTATACATTACAATTTGTGTCTTTCTCTTTATCTTTGTCTCTCTTTATTTTTGAATAATTTTAGTTTCACGTCACTGGGAAGCAAGGAAGTCCAGTAATTCTGCCCGCTTGGTTGTGCACCTATTGTCCTTATTAAAGGCGATACCACGCGGTAAAAATATCCTTGTTTGTATGCGAATGGTGCTAACAGTCCAATAACTGCACATACATGTACAATTTATAGAAGGAGAAGACCGGAATTCACTGAATTCACTGATGACACAGAAGAGACCATTTCACTATCCAGTTCATAATTCAAAGCTTCAAAAGCTCATGTATTTGAAGCATAACAAGGGTCTTTTTCAGCAGCTGAATGATTCATTTATGTATTCATGACGCGTTGACATCGGAACTCATGAAGTTTGGCCATACATGAACTGGTCCTGCAATTCGATCACTTGGTCTCAGTTGTCCCACGTCGGGACGTCCAGGATTTGCCTAGTCGCCACTTCCCGAGCCTTCCGGACGGTCGAGGTTTGGTCAGCGAGCTCTGAACTGTTCAGGACGTCAGCCCAAATCACCAAAAAGAACGTCAGGATTATTACCTTTAGTATTTGCCTCACATTCCTATAGAGCATGTGTTTTAGTGTAGCAGTCTCCATGGAGCAGAAATTTCAGGCACTATTGTTGTATATATCAGTGTAAAATCTATGATACGCTCTTTCAATGTAGGGTGGCTACCCCGGTATTTGTTTGGTCGACTTCCATAACATTGTCCTTCTTACTTTTACCTCTCGAGCCTTGTTCCCTTTAATGTTCAGTGGGGCGACGAAATACCTCTATCATTGCTTGTTCACGTGAGAAGTCTGTTTCCATGTCAAGTTAACTTATGGTGCCAACAGGCAAAATGTCTTTGCTCTTGTGATGTCTGGTGCGCTTGAACATGCATCGTTGTAGATCTGCCCTTGCCGCTTTGTCTTTGAAACCCATAGGTTCTTCTAAACGATTATGCATATCGTGGTTTGAAGTACACTAACGGTTTTCAAAATCGCCCCGTTGGGCTGATATGGTAAATAGATATGATGGAGTGGTCCGTATATGTGTTTCGTCACATCATCAGGTGACTGGGCGCATGCACTTACAAGGCCGGACATGGGATCCAGTCAGAGCCAGCTGACAGCTGAAGAGCTGCGAGACTACAGGGTACGTAATTAGAGCAGACCACATCTGACTACAGATTAACTATATCCCTTACTGAGTTTTTAAAAGCGATAAGCTCTATAGTGTTATCTGGTTCTATTCAGTAAGGTTTGAGGTGGCATGTGTAAACTACGTGACTTGTAACTAGACTATGATTTTATCGTGTGTTCTGATAAGTTGTATCATATATGTTTCAGCAGTGATATTTGCTTTCCTTCATTTACTGATGGTTGAAATTACAATGCTTTTAGTATCTGAATTTCGATTCGTGTCGTTAAACGATATGTGTTTCAGTAACAGAGATTCTTTTTCTTGTTTTTATTACACACATTTGTATTTATATATAATGTCTTTCACTCCTGTAATAGCCCTACAAAAAGGACTGGCAGCATCAATAAATGAAATGAAATGAAACTTGCTGCAAGATGACTTATAGAGGGCTTAGTGCACGTCGGAAATATTACTGAACGAAAAAAAGATTATGTGGCACGAAACGTTACACAAGGTACTACCATGACGTTCAATAGTTCATCAATGTTTTTTATGAAATATGAATAACAAGTGCGCTCATACGCAGATGCGTTAGAAATACCAGATTAAGTATATATATGTCACAGTAGAATAGCTAACTGGCATATGCATCGATGTATCTAAAATTATTCGAGTACGAATTACAGAACGTTCGTTTACGCAACCCGCCCCCTCTTTCTTATGTGATATCCTCTCGGTAATCATTCATTTCGTTAGTTTTCTTGTAGCTCGTGTTCTCACTTAACACATGTGCATTTGCGAACTGTATATGCATTCCATGACGTCATTGGGAATTGAGCAGTAGAAAGTAATGGGTGTCGATTGCGTCCTGTCGGGAAAAAAATGAAATAAAATTATATTTTTCATCGGAACGAAAACGTAACCAAAACGGTAATTATTTTGTTCCGGAATGAAAATTTTTTCCAATTGTTTTTTGGTGGATGCGGAAACTTGGCTGTCCAAAATAACCGAGGTCATGCAAGGTGAGCAGTAATTCCCCTCTCAGAGTACTCTACTAGTGCTTATCTCATGCAAGCATTCCAAGATAAAGCAGTGTGGCAATTCTGCGAAAAACAGAAAAACAATAACAATGGCAACCACGGGGCTTCATATTCACACAAGTGGACTTTCGTGTACGTGTGACCCAGGCCAGCATGGGGAGGACATTTTCAACGCGGAAAGTTGTTTTGTAAAAACAGCGGTCTCGCATATCAAAGATATGCTCGATGACGGGCTGCTCTCGAGATCATGCTCACTCCCTTGACGCAAAGCAATGAAGTTTGCATTTACTGTTGAGAAATTCACTTTTGACAAAGTCTGCTACAACCTAGAAGGGCGCTGGTTTGCACTGATTTTTGGAATTCGAAGTACAGTTGTGCGTTAGTGTTAGGTACAGTTAGTGCGAGAAGAAGGTGCTCTACATATGCCCCACTTCCTTAAAGGGGCCCTGCAACACTTTTTGAGCATGGTCAGAAAACTCTGCCGATCGGTAGTCGAAGCTCCCAAGAATAGGCAAGCCAAATATTATAGCGCAGCACGTGACCTGGAATGCACAATGCATTTTCAAAATCAGTTGAAGATTGCTTTCTCTTCACTCTACAAATGACGATACAAGCTGAAAAATCCCTCGTCAAAGGCCGCTCTGTCAGCCATTGGCTGATTTGAACAGGGCGCGCTAGATTGTTACTGGGGTCGCCGCGGGAGGCCGTGACTTGTCTACGCGTGCGTGCGCGATCACAATAAAGATCGCGTATTTGTTTAAAAAAATAAAAAAAAGGCTCAAGGTCACGAGGCGTGCGTGACGTATTTTCTTTCCCCCGTTATCCTACCCTACTTAGCTTCCAGCGCGTTCGTCGGGGCAAAACATGAGAGAATGCAATTGCAGCGTGCGACAAATCTTTGAAACTCCACCCGTATACTGGACGAATTCTTAATTTTTTTTTGCGGTGTTGAATTTATGAGGCTCTTTTATTGAATCCATTCCATGGTTACTAGAAAAAGTGTTGCACGGCCACTTGAGCAGGCGCGTACGCAACTGTGTGACAAATCCAATATTTATTGATCGTTATTTTCTAACACCAAATTTTTTATGCAAATGAACAACCTTGCGAACCACTGCGGAACATTTTTTTTTTGTTCCGGAATAGAAACAGAACGGAACTTTATGCGGTGGAATGAAACTAAAACGGAAATGAAAAAAAATATTTCGTTCCAACAACCTGGTCGCGAGTGTAACGTTTGATGTGCCGCGTCATTTTTTTTTGTTCTCAGTGATATTGTAAACTCGCTGTGCTGTATAGACGTTTGGCTAATATTGTACTTAATATCTCTCAGTACTGTTGCACGAGTCTAAAATTAGCATGTCCTTTCGAAATTATCAGTAAACTACAAAAAACCAGTATGTAGAAATTCTTTTAGGTTTTACCAATGTCACGGCCTCTCGATTAATATAAGAAAAAAAACTTTTTTCTAAAATGTTTACTTCTATCGAGAGGTCGTGCCTTTGTATAGAGCTGTGCTTTACTTTTGTCCCCACCGTATTGCTGATCTCGATGGCCAACGACTAACATCGCCGTTCACGAGTAAATGTTCGAAAGAAGAACTAAGGAACATTATTATTAAGGGGCTGTGAAGGACGGCCATAGGGATACACGAAACTGTAGTTAAAAATGATTATATACTGAGTATATTCCAGTGTATATGTTCGCACGTTATATTAATTATTTATATGGTCACGTCTGAATGATCGGCCGAGTGATCAGGCTGCTACCTTGAATGAATTAATGCATCGATATAAGTAGCCGCTAGGTTGTAGTACATAACAGGTGCAAAGCATGCCGTAAAACGTTTTACTGCTTGTCCAATTAATGTAACTTGTTTATAATGCAAATTAGAAGAGAATTCATCTTGCAGCTAGACATTTGATAGTTGTGTGTGCATCTTGCGCATGTGTTCAACTTGCATCGTGAAAGAAAATACGTATATGTAGAGAGCTGTCTGCGGAAAAATTGTGCTAATCAGAGTCACAGGAAACCCACCATACCGCTCCTTCAACTTTTTCAATTTATTTATACACATTGAGTCTCAGCACACATATACACTTTTTTCCACAAATTAACAATTTTCACAAATTATGCACCTTATCATAAACTGGGCTTATGTTCCCTCTCCGGTTTAACAACTAAGAGGACCATATACCGTTCCCCAACGAAAAGAGACATTCCGAAACTGATCTTCCATGGCCGCATGATGAAAGACACGCAGGCGTCTCCAGCATATGCTCATTTTGTACTTTTGCATTTTATTGTGCTGTATACAACAAAAAATCATCTCGTATCGCCATCGCATAAAGTACAGTGAATGCATGTTCTATTTTTCACGAGCTATTCATATAGTAGAAAAAAGCGCCAACGAAGAGCAACTAGACCAAGCAGGGCTATCGCTGACTGCGAACAACTGCGTTCAATTTCGCTGTACAAATATGTTATCAGTCACATTACGGAAAGCGAGAGACGGACGTGGACAAAAAAAAATTCCGCCATATCCACGAAGTGAATGATGATGAGTGGGCGAAGCTCCGGAGGTAAACCTGGTAAACCATGAATCCTCTGTACATTTTGCCCACTCGATTTTATTACATCGCTCCCCCTAGCGTACGTCGCCGCACTAAATCGAACGATTGCCTTCAATGACACGCGCCATATGTGACATCATTCCTATTTTATAAGATCTCGCGTCTTTCATCAACTACAAGTACCGCTTTCTAGTTTATAACATCTTGGATCTTTTCATCATCAGCTACAAGTACCACCATCTAGTAAACACTACAAGAACTAAACGAGAGGTGGCTACATACAGGAGACGGTACCGCCATCTAGTGAACACTGCAAGAACTAAACTAGAGGTGGCTACATACAGGGGACGGTACCACCATCTAGTGAACACTGCAAGAACTAAACTAGAGGTGGCTACATACAGGCTACAGGGGACGCACAGCCCACGCCCTAAGGAGCTTCGCCCCTAAAAAATCACAATATATCCATGGATGGAGTGAATGATGATTGGACGAAGTGTCTGTCAGCCCGTCCGTGCTTCCGTCCGTCCATCCGTCCGTCCGTTCGTCCATTCGTTCGTTCGTTCTTGCTTCCATCCGTCCGCACGACCTTCCGTGCGTCTGTCCATGCGTCCACCCGTCTGTCCATGCGTCCGTCCGTGAGTTCGTCTATCCATTCATCTGTCTGTCTGTTCATGCATCCATCCATCCGTCCGTCCGTCTGCTAGTCTGCCTGTACCTCCGTCTGTGCGTCCATGTAGTGAACACTCCAAGTACCGCCATCTCCCTTCTCGCATCCCCTGTGGCACATACCCGCTCTAGAGCGGGTACGTGTCACCGGTGGCTACGTACTACTACATACATACAAGGGATGGACAGACCCACGCCTTGAGGATCTTCACCCATAAAAAAAAAAACTTTCCTATTGCATTACCCCAGCTGTATGCGCATATGTTTGCACAGTAAAAATAAACGCAGTTTCGGTATTGAGCGGTAGTCCTGTTTGGGTCTATCTTATCTCCGTGGTATCGCGCTGTTTTCTGCTATGAATATGTAGGCTACTAACGAGCCCAAGTTCACATGCTTTTGAACTTTGTGAGCTAACATTGCGAAACTTCCTGACCATGGAGCGTATACTGGATGTCTTTGCAGGAGCTGACGTTCCTTACGAAAAAAGAAATCCTGCAGTAAGTATTCGAAGCGGTTTTTATTTTACTTTTTGAAGCGTATACGAGGAGAGAAATTCGCTCTTGTTGGTACGAAATTAGTCAATACTTTGCGCAAAGAAACAGGAGGACGAGAAGAAAGGACATAAAACGTGCGCATGTGTTGTCTTCCCTTCGGATCCATATGCAACTTTGCACTAATTATTACCTAACTTTAAAGTGAACATAATATTTAAAAAAAAAGAAACGCGCTGACGGGTAGTAAGTAACAAAACCGTCCAATTGTGCTTATCTTGTGCTTAGTTGGCACCCATCAGGAATTATTCTCGTCAAAACTAATGTATGATAACGGCAGCAAACATTTTCTGCGCGTAAAAACTCTATTTTCCGATTGATCTCTATTGACGCAACCAAAGTATGTGTATATATAGATAAGATTGCTTGTCAGCGTGCCTTCGCCCTGAAAAAGCAGTTCCGACTAGGACGATTCGATTGTTTAGTATACGTGTATACGAGTTGACACGACTCCACATATCGCGGTGACGGGTGATCTCTCCACGTGACTGATGCTGTCGTGTTCAATACAACGATCACCATCGAAGTGTCGAAGCTAATGCTGCGCCTTACATACTCGCCACATTGCGCAGAGACAATCGCCGCCAGTGGTCGCTCTAGCTCGCATAAATCACAGACCGGCGATGGCAGAAACCGTTTTGGAATGCCGCCCTAAGAGGTCGAAAGCGTTGCCCAAATTCTTGAAGACGTCACTTGCGGTGGCGGTTATGGCCTAATGGAGCTTTCATGACTTGAAAGCGTGTGACGATGTGCGTGTGTTCCTTCCCTCTCTCTCTTTTTTATCTCTATCTCGATCTTTAATACTACGCCACCCATCTCTCCAGTGAAGGGTAGCATAGCATTTTTCCTGTATTGACTGGTTGACGTCGCTTACTTTCCGATCTCTCATGTTCCTTGCTTCGTTCTTCGTCAAGAACACGCAGATACTGACCAATATTACGTTATAACCTATTACATTTCAGGTTAGACCTTTGGAGAGAGAGAGAGAGAGAGAGAGAGAGAGAGAGAGAGAGAGAGAGAACACAAGGAGAAAGGCAGAGAGGTTAACCAGGGCTGAGCCCCGGTAGGCAACGCTGCACTGCGGAAGGGGAGAGGGGAAGGAAAGTAATGGAGGAGGAGATAAAAGGTCACTCACTGGGCCGACGCGTAACAGTTTCACCATCACAAACGATGAAACAGCCCGGTGTCTTTGGGAAAACGCAACAGTGCTTTCGTTGTTTTGTTTAATTATATATCACAAAGTAAATGAATGGTATTTACCGGTGGGAAGAATCATACTACGAGTAACCTTCATACGGGTTCCTGAGAATGAAAACTTCGTGATTTGAAGAAACAGTCGCACTGGTGAAGGTTTCGAACCTAGAATTACTCGCATGTAATAAACGGCATTAAAAAATGTCGTCCGCATTTATCAATGGGCTAGTTGGTTAAACATTATCAATGTTCCTTGCGCACACATTAGAAAAAAAAAAGGAAAAGAACTGACGACCGCGATGTGTTTTGAACGTATTTTATCGCTGTCTTCAATTCCACTATTTTTTTTAAGTTTCTGCAAGAAACGTTGGTCGCGTCTGAATTCGCCATGATTATTTTTTTTTTGAACGGCGTGCAGGCCACATAATTCAGGTGCTTTTTTTTAAATTTCAAGATTTTGGTGGTTCAACCATAAAGTGCATGCTATAATTTCATAGAAGAGACAAGTCACAGTGTGTACCAGAGGGTAACCAAGAATTTAGTACTCTTATCAATCTCCTTACCCACATTTTGTACGTGCGCAGCGCCTTCAAGCGATTCAAGGGCATCGCCGTAGGGGAGGTGCTAGCCGACAAACACGCCAGAATTCCCGTCAAGTACATCGAACAGATGCCGGAATTCAAGGTGCGTATAAGGGACCGCATTCGTTGCCATCAGCCTCCCCGGTATTCGTTAAAAAGATCGCACCTCGGCTTCCCAATATAAGTGACTTGGCGGGTGCAGAACCCAGAAAAAACTTATCAGTGGCTCGCGGAACTACGAAAAGGGGCCTGCAGAACCCCGTTGGAGAAACCAAGGCTCTAAGCCACCGCGGCGGGCTAGTAAATTAGAAACGCATTGTATTCCCACATCCGTAACTTAGTACATGCTTCCATATACATATGGACACCGCAGCCACTCACATAAGTTACGCAGAGCGGGCCCGTAAACATTTCTCGTCGGCCGTGTACAAGTGCCGCAGTGTTACGAAACGCGGGTGATTTTCTCAGCCACGAACTTCCACGAAGATTGCGCAAGTGCAACTGTAGGTAGGGTTTATGTTGCACCTATCCCACGGTTCGTCGTCTACTCGGGTGTTCTTCAGGGAAGCACTTCAGGGAAGCATTTGACGGAGCGTCCGTTTTAAGCGTCCCCCCGGACGGTGTAGTTTATTTCCTACCACGTGTGCGAGGTTCCGTTACGAAGTTCTAACCTTTCTGACCTTTCTTTCGCGAGCTTTTTTGTTGTTGTTGTTGTTTTCTTCCCGAGACGTTGGTGTGAACAGCGCGCTCAGCATTACGCCTCGAAATAATTCGCGAGAAAAGGAAATACGTTGAAACAGCGCGCCTTTTGTCCGGATTGCGGTACACCGTCGGAGCCGTCAAGAGCGGCACTTTTGATGTTCTTAAACGGAAGCCGTGCAAGTTGCACGCAAACCGGCGGTGCGCTGGGTTAGAGAGAATAATGAGCGTGCTCTGAGAAATTCTCGCGTCGCACGCTTGCGTGTGCCGCATTTACTCGCACAAGCCCCCGCCCCCTAAAGCTCCACCCTGCCGCAGTGGTCTAGTGGCTAAGGTACTCGGCTGCTGACCCGCAGGTCGCGGGTTCGAATCCCGGCTGCAGTGGCTGCATTTTCTATGGAGACGAAGATGCTGTATAGACCCGTGTGCTCAGATTTGGGTGCACGTTGAAGAGCCCCAGGTAGTCGGAATTCCCGGAGCTCTCCACTACGGCGTCTCTATATTCATATGGTGGTGTTAGAACCTTAAACCCCATATTTTTTTTTGACGTTGCCGAATTCACTACGACTCACGCTCGCTAAAATTTTTCTCAACCGAACCTATCAGACCCCAGCTCTCATAAAACATTACTCGTTCTGACTCACTCATAGTCATGTCTTCATGTAAGTCTGAGTAAGTGTGAATGAGTGAACATCCTGGGGAGTTGGTCGACCAATGGTCTCGACAGATAACGTAGTCAGTTAGCTGTTTAGGTGAAATAGAGTCGAAGAGAGTTTAAACAAAGCCTTCGATTTAACTTTATTCGAACGAAGCTACTTGTTCATATTAATACGGAGAGAATGCGACTTCTTCAGGAGAGAACAACGCCAATGGAAACGACACGGATGAGCGCATGATCACCTTGCAGGAAATTATTGATGATCCTGTGTGAGTTACGAAGGATATAAGATTATTACGCCCGTTGAAAGTTTGTTCGGGCGAACATCGGAGTACTGCAACAAGTCTACAAACTCTGCGCATACACTTATCTTGAAGTTTCACGTGTATATAGTTGTGTACGTCTACTGTATGCTCCATTATTATAGTGCAGAGCATATTGTGATGTTGTAACCATATTTTATTTTTTTCTTTTTACATGCACTGTCTTTCTTATTTTGGGTGTCCTGTCTTGCAAATTCATATCTTGCAGTTATAGCTTGCAGAACCCACGTAACTCTTTATTGCTTAGTGCTTTAATGCTTAGTGCTTCAATGATTTGTGGTTGCCAGAGGGCTATTTGTATTGCGCTAGCAGCAAAGGAGCTCACGGCACTTCTGCTTGGCGCCATCATCCCCCTACACACATTTAATGAAATAATGTGCTTACTTCAGATATTGCAGTCAACCCATCCCTTACTTCAGTGAAAGTGACAGGTAATGTTATTGAACGGAGTGCTTTGCGATGAGCAATCAGCGATTTCGTTTTAATACCCACGCACAGTAGCAAATCAGCCATTTAGCTATGCTGTGGCTGAATTCTCTGCATTTCAATGAAGAGTTCTCTCTATCTCTCTCTCAAAGTAGACACAGTACACCGTAAGCATAGTACGCGCTAGGAACTGTACTCCAGACTGATGTCAAAACATTGCCTCAGTCACGGTATCAGACGAATAGTGTGCGTCTTATACGAGCGAGAATGCGGTGCCTCCGCTGGCTCCCAATTTCTCGCTTCGTGGAGCGTTCTAAGGAGAGTCATTATAAAACGTTCCCTGCTGTGTCTTTTTGTGTATAGAGGTTGTTATAGAGTCAGTTACGTCATGAGCGCGAAATTACCTGTCGTTTCCTCGTACACTCGAACCGCTTACGTATATCGCTCAGCCCGGAATGCACCTGTAATTCCCTTCACTTCCTGCTCCATTGTGTAGCGCAAGCAACACGCAAACTTAAGTGATCCATAGCAATTAATGCGAGCTTCGAATGGTGGCGACTTCATGTGCGTGGTCATGCACAATGACACTATAGGACCGACAGTGCCAAAGCACGCGAAATAACCTCGCCATTCATCCCGTAAAAGCTGTCGTAAAACTTCAACGAAACATCCGGACGGACTTCGTAGTCGATAATTATGATTAGTGAAAAACCAAAAGCGAAAACGTTATTGTACTTTCAACCATCGGTTCATTGCTTCATAGCTAGCCTAGCCACTCTGTCGTTAGTTCAGGTTAATAATGTATCGACGAGATCACGTGCCTACGCATTGTGGCAGTTTTCAAAAAGAGCACAGGGGAAGTCGACAAGCTATATGTGAGAAAAATAAGCCATGGAGGGATGTCAAGGCATAGGCAAAATTTTTTTCCGGTGGGAGGGGGGGAGGCTCTTTTTGATTCGGGGGAAGCGGGCACTTCTTTGAAATGGTCACTTTTTGTTTTTTCGCTCTGTATGTCACGACAAAACAATTTGGGGGGAGGAAGGAGGGGGTGGGAAGCAAAAACTGTGTGCCATCTACTGACTATGCCACTGATGGGTGGTCTGTACACTGTGAAAATAGCCGCAACGTATTCACGCACTCGTTCAGTTCTATCAAGATTTCTTTTCGTTACTTTTCACTCATTACTATCTCTTGCCTCAATGGTAAATTGTCAAACGCGACTCGTCCCAAGCTGTTTCGTGCAATCGTCATACGAAGAATACGTGGCACTACAGTTGTTCTGTTACAATATGGCCTGCTGTTGAGAGATTTAGGTAAAGAGATCGCAAGCTACTTTAATTTGGGCGCTGCATCAGAAGCAGTAATAGCAAAGAAATAACGGCGCCTAAAGTAAACAAATACAGAAAAAAAATGGCAGATGTCAATGCGGAGTTCCCTAACGAAGGTCCACATTTCACTTAAAAGTTCATGAACAGGCGCTTTTGTTAAAGTTGTATCCTCATTTGAAACCATAACATCTCACTTCACACGTGAGTGCTTTATCACAAACATTTGTCGAATTATATGTCCAGAAGAGTCTATTTAGAAGACGTTTGCCTTTAGCTGCAGTTGTCATCCACGACACGGTCGAAGCACATTTTGTACATCCATTCTATTGCAGTAATAGTGGGTCGTGCAGATTGCTGTATTCTCCACTTTTGTGACAACGACAGTGCGGATGAAATTTCACCGACCATTTTGTTGCGTGCGCGCCAACTGACCATCGAATCAGACGAGAAAGCGTCATTAGAGTCGAGAAACGTTGAGCTTGCCGCTGATTGTCTTCATCCAGTGATTTTGTTTACCGTTCATGACGAGTTCACAAGCACTCCGTCGTATGAATGACGCTAAAAGTGTCTAGTTTACGCTTCAACGTTCACTGAACATGTCTGTTTATTTCTAAATGAAGGACATTTGGGGCGTTTTATTTTCTTCGTCGTCGTGACTATCCGTATAGAATCCACTGTTTGCAAACACAGACCCTTGATCACACCTGGTTTTGTCCACCATAGGGTGCGCTCATAGGATGCCGGCTTGTGTTGTCTGCTAGAACACCGCATTTTCAACGCTTTTGCTGTGAACACCGTCCGTGCTTCCTTTTGTTTTGAAGCTCAGTGCTTAAAGAAGCGATAAGACCTGGTAACACGGGCAAACAAACTACAATTTGGTGCCCCCGGTGGCACTCTGGTGTCTAACTTACATCGTAAAATTGCGACTAAAAACCAGTGCAGCCATGGGGGACGATGCAAGTGGTGTCGCGAAAGCAAAGCTGCGATATTACACAACTGGTATTCTATATGTGACGTCAAAATGATGCCAGTGTTGATTACGAATCTAGGGGCGGCTTACTGCTCTCCCATGTTTGAGCACCAAGTACTCAAAATTGTTCAACATTTTTTTTCTAAACACACAGCGCTGGCCTCTGTAGTGAAAGCCCTCGTGGCCAATTTCGTTAGTGCGAGTAAAATCACACGAGTCTTGCGGCCGGACGCGGTTCAGACACACATGAAACGCGCCGGCGCCTATCAGTCGCGCGAAGGCGCGTGGAGGGTCTCCGAAAGTAGGAGTGGGAAGCTGCGTCGCTCTGGTTGCGAATGCGAACTTATCAAGCGGCGGTCGCGCGCGTACTATCTCAATAGAGATCAGCAGATGGCTCCTGCCTTGGCGTGGACGTTACTCTCAACATTTGCTAAGCGTTGAAGCGATAGACAGCGTGGATGCACTTTAACTCGCTGCAGTGGCTGTGTTCTCTTACGCCAGTTTTTTGTACACTTACGCCAGGCGGGATCCTAAATGAGTTATATGCTAGACTTACTTCATGTAACGTTCTAGTTTGTTGCCATGGCGTTCATTGCTTCACCTTTGCGACAAAATTGACCTTTTCTTCTATTTCAAGTATTTCTCATCGTTGAAGTTACAAGCATTGTAAAATGGTTTGATTCAGGCACAAACTAACAGAAACTACCATTCAAGCTATTGATTAAAATGTGAAGTTATTAAATTTGTTAAATACAAGTAAAACTTCAACTATTGTCAACTCTACCAGATCTCAGTTTGTCTCAAACTTTAAAAACACCAAGAAAAAATTGCGTGCGCGACTCTATTCTATAGTAATATCTCATTTACCGTCGCTGCGCAGCACAAATAATAGCCGCACGCGGCACACTATTGGGCTAGATTTGTGCCTTTCGATACGTCTGTGAAACCGTGCATTGTCTTACGCGTAATAACGGATGAATGCATTCGTCATTCTACGCGTATGCGCAGTGCAATCCTTTCCGGGACCGGTTACTGCGTGTGTTTTCATCATGCAAGGACGAGCGCATGTCCTTCGAGGACTTCCTGGACCTCCTGAGCGTGCTTTGCGAAGACGCACCCATCGACGTCAAGGCCGAGTACGCCTTCCAGATATTTGGTGAGCGAACGTCGCACGTTCGTACGTGCCCATACTGGAACTGCCCAACAAATGCTAATTGGCACTCACCTAAGCTCCCAATGGTAGCATTCCCTGCCAGGTCAGCCAGATTCACACCGCCTGTAGCGACATCGCCCTTACTGTGGGTGTTAGGGAGGAAGCTCCTTACGCAGTGGGTTGTTCCCTCCTCGGTAGTAGGAGTGTGCAACCACCTCTATACTTTGAGTTGCTCTATAAATGGCGTTGTGTGTTGATGTTCTTGGGAATGGTACAACTAGATGGCGTTAGTGGTTTTCACAGCATATCCACGGAGTGAATGATGAGTGGGGCGAAGTGTGTGTCCGTGCGTCCGTACGTTCCAAGGAGGCAGACAGACAAACGGACGGACGTCCATCCGTCACTCTCTCTGTCTGGACGGACAGACGATTTACGGTTTACTGATAAAACCCTTTGACTCTTTGCCCTACTCATCATCATTCACTGCGTGAATATGCAAAGGCCATCTAGCGGCTTGAGGAGGCTTTGGCGAAGCAACGGAAAAAATGAGCCGACGACCCGTCTAACGGGCGCGAGGCACCCGAGTAACTGTCACCTAGTCGGAGCACAACGTCCTCGAGGTCTAGGCTCTGAGATTATCGGACTATAATAGCTGTAATCTTAAGATAGGGAACGTCCGCGCCCTGTCAGGCCGGGGACTTCCTACACGCTGGATGTATAAATAAATGTCATTTCTCTCTCTCTCCGTGAATATGCTGTGATTTTTTTTCTCATCTTGCGTTCTGTCGATTTTTTGCACTCGCCCCTATAACACTTATTTGGCTTAGGAATCGGACGTCACTAAAATCACCATGTTGGGTTATCAACGTTATGGGACGCAAAGCCTACTATATCACGTCAATATTATCAGAACATCATGCGCAAGTTTATTCGTTATTTATTTGCAGACGCCACGGAGAAACGTTCCAGCGTTGGTCGGTATAGCATAGAAGCAGGTTAGCCGCCATTATGGTGTACCAGTACGTTAAAAACCGGTGTCCGTGACATCATGCATAAGCTACTCGTATTCTCACTGGAATGCCGCTTAATCTGGCCCACTCGGCCTCAAACAAGCGCTACCCAGCCACGCACTCTGCACAGGCTCAGCATCACATCCTAGTGTGAGCCTCGATTAACGAGTAACTCTACTAATAATAGTACACAGAGGCTTATTCGAAAGCTGTCCAACCGTAAAAAGAAAAAAATGTGGCTGATCCCTCTGTAGCATTGATTCGCAAGTGTCTGTAAGATTGATTCGCATATCAATGGTACATGTATAGAACCAGTTCACACATTCACTGGCGCGGTTATGGTCAGCATGTGGGCGTTCTCATGTCGCCCGCGACACGCGTGCGCAGATATGGACGATGACGGCGTCCTGGGTGAAGACGACCTCGCTGAGGTCATCAAGCGGCTGACGTCGTGGGACTCCGGGTGCCGGATGGAGACGCCCGACGTGCAGCGACTCATCGAGCAGGTTCTCGCCGAGGCTGACCTCGACCGGAGCGGCCACATGTCGCTCATGGAGTTCCAGCACTGCATGCTCAAGAACCCCGACTTCGCGAGGTGCGTCGAGACGTCTTTTGTCTTTCCATAACTTCCGTGATCCGTCAACGTAGTCCTGTGTTATTGATTTAACAGTGGAGCTGATCAAAGTCGGAAAACCCCCGATACGCCTTCGCGAAAATTATCATCGTCATGCCGGTGCGCGCTTTCTCTTCGTCCTTTTTGCATCCCGAACACGTACAACTCGGACAAACGAGAGAATCAGTACACGCACACAGAGAGAGAGAGAGAGAGAGAGAGAGAAATAAAGGTTATGGAGAAAATATAGACACAGGAAGGTGTCGACAGAGTGAGAAAGAGGCAAAAAGAAACAGGCGGGAAAAAGACAGAAAGTAACAGAGCGTCAAGACAGAACGAAAGATGAAAACAAAGTGAGCGAATAGAGAGAGAATAAAATATAGAAAGAGAGAGAGAGGGAAAGAGGTAGAGACGTAGAATAATCAGAAATAGAGGAGAAGAAAAGGAGGGTAATAAAGAAAAGTGACTAAGGCATAAAGAGAACGGGAGAGAGACAGAGAGGAGATAACAAGAGACAAAAATCAGAAATGAAAACCGAGAAAAGGGAAAAAGAAACAAGGCAGGCCACCTAGCTCCGCTGTTTGCTTTTCGATTATTGCACCGCTGATGGAAGTTGCGCCATTCCTTTGTTATTTTGGCGTTGTCTTTTCACAATTATTTTTTGTTATGTTCATTACCTGCTTCCTTATTTTATTTTGTCCCAGGGGTGAGTTACGATTTGTCCGCCCCCTCTGTAGCGGGCTCTTTGAGATGCTTCACAAACAACGGAGGAGCCGAGGCAGTTACATCGTAAATGAAACACTTTGCACCCACTCAGTAGACACTATAACGTACGCACATCGTGCACGCTAAGATAAGATCTCGCAGAAAACCTACCACGGATTGTGCAGCATCGCTGCAAAACTTATACCCGCCCGTTACAGCGCTTGCAGAATAATTAAGCCATGAATTTAGCAAATAACCCGTGATGTGGGTCCAGTGATTCTGGTGCTGTCCTAGTGGCCGCGAAGGTCGCGGGATTGAACACTTGCCGCGGCGGTCCCATTTAGATGTAGGCGAAATGCCAGAGGCTGGTGTACTTAGGTTAAGGTGGACATTGAACAACCCCAGGAGTAAATAATTTCCGGAGTCCTCCAATACGGCATCCCGCATAATCATATCGTGGTTTTGGGACGCAAATCACCAATCATTATTATTACTTGAGGAAATGAAAACCAAAAGCAAGCGGATAGCTCGAGAACTATCGGAAATATTTTTCTATGCGAAAAGGCGGATTTTGCGTCAGTGAGTATTTCTCCTTGAGTGGGTGCGCATTTAAAATAATATTAAGAGTTGATTTCTTTGCCGTTTGTGTAGTAAGGCGAGCATATTGTCTTATGATAGCACATGCGTGTACGACTTTCATTTGTTATGATGCCTGATGTGCCTAGTTTCATATAAACTTAGTTAAAGTCAGCGCCCGTCTTGTCATGCACTTCTCTGTTCTGCACTCGTCAAAAGTAGCACAGGAATATTAAAAAAAATGGCAGCACATCCCCGGAGTGAATGATGGAGAGTGGGGCGAAGCATCCATCCGTCCATTCGTTCTTTCTTCCGTCCGTCCATGCGTGCATCTGTTCGTGCGTCCGCACGTCCATCTGTGCGTCGGTCCCTGCGTTCGTCCATGCATCCGCTCCTGCGTCCGTCCATGCGTCCATCCGTCCGTGCAGCCATCCGTGCGTCCATCTCTGCATATGTCTGTGTGTCCGTTCGTCCACCTATTCAACACTCCAAGTACCACCATCTCGCATCTTTTCATCATATATTCCACATATAGAAGCACCGCCATCCAGCGGACATTCCAAGGACTAAACGAGAGGTGGCACACGCACACTTATTTTATTTTTATTTAGAAAATACTGCGGTCACTGAAGACCAAGCAGGTGGGGAACATTACAATAAACAAATATGCAAACATCGAGAAAAAAAATTAAAGGAATAATCAAATTTGCAAGAATACAAAATGGATGATACAATGAATTTAAGAAAAAATATAACAGACCATATAAAAATAAATAATAAATAATGGCGAAAATGGAGTGATGTCTTAAAGCACACACAAAAAAAAGAATATACACATACGTACAGACAAATTTATACACATGGAAACGCGTCAACTATTACAAGTTCTGAGCACCAACAATCCGAAAAGTGATATTGCATGAATACAGAGTATAAACATTATATTAAGCACTAGCAGTACAGAGAAGATGCGCTTATGTCACGGTTGAGATGCTCCGAGCAACGCTTTCTCGAAGTCATCAGATGAAATGACATCAGGTGGTAAGCTATTCCACTGAATAATTGTTCGGGGAAAGAAAGAATTTTTAAAGGTGTTAGTCCGCGTGGTGTATGGGAGCAGGTTATGCATATGACGATGCCTAGATGCGCGAGGAGAGAATGGTTGTATGTATTTATGGGCAGGAATATTCAGCTTACCATTATAAATGGAATGCAAGAATTTCAGGCGTGCGATTCTGCGGCGATCTTCAAGCACAGGAATATCGTTGTCTTTCATTAATTTTGTCGGTGAATCAGATGATTTAAACCTAGAAAAAATAAAACGTACAGCGCGTCTTTGAACCATTCCAAGTTTTTGAATGTCTTTTTTGTAGAAAGGGTCCCAAACCACTGATGCATATTCAAGTTTAAACAAAATATACGCTTTGTACGCGAGCATTTTTAATTTCGGAGGGGCTTTTTTCAGTTTGTGCCTCAGAAAACCAAGCTTACGAGAAGCTGATGCGGAGACATTTGTTATATGTGCGGACCAAGAAAGTGTGTTTGTAATGGTTACTCCTAGGTATTTATATTCATTTACTTCACGTACTGGTGTTCCTTGGACGTTGTAGGTAAACGTGAATGGCTGTTTTTTTCTTGTCACACGTAGGAGTACCGTTTTGTCAGAGTTTAATGTCATTGACGACCGAGTACACCACTCACTAACTTGTGTTAATGCAAGACTTAAATCAACCTGATCTTGTTGGCATGTCACTTTTTTATATACTACGCAGTCGTCATCGAACAATCGGATACTAATGTTAGACTCAACCCTGTCAGCTATATCATTTATGTATATAAGAAAAAGAATTACGGCTTGCGCTTCGTGTCTACTACCCACCTTTAACCATGGTATATACTATTTCACTGTATTCATGGCACTGCGGCCTAACGCTCGCTAAACCTTTCTAAAACCAAGGAGGTTACACCCAGCGAGTGTAACGTAGCAACCCTTTCTTGTCAGGTAGTGCTCAATGTACAAGCCAATGGCTGCTAAGGGGTAATTGAAAATTCGGCTTCTAGTGAACGCGCACGCTGCGATTTTTTTTTGTTCGACAACGCACGGAAGAAATCTCCCACCGGCACCACCTTTGAGGTTAAAATCTAAGACTGGTTACACACTACGACTACTACTACTACTACTACTACGAGGGACGAACGGGTGCCGCTTTAAGGAGCTTCGCCCCTAAAAAAAGTTCGGTATACGTACAAGACATGTACACACGTACATGTCTTGTACACGCACAAACTTTCAGTAAATTTTCCAGCTTCATATATCATGAGAAGCAGTGCAGCTTTTTGCACATGTCGACAAGTGCGACCCTGAACATTTTACAATATCCGCACACGTATATGTTACTGAAGCGTGGAACCGAGTGCTCCCCTGCACCGTGAAAAAAAGCGCAGCGGTGTGTACTCACGCCTCACAATGCGTCATTCATCAACGCGTTTCGTGAACAAGTGCTCTTTTGTTGTTCTTCTTTCCTCTCTTTTTTCTCGCTGAGGTGACCTTGCTCGCGCTCGGTGGACGCCCGCTTCACTACTGGTGGCGACTTCCGGATGCTGCTATTCTGGCATCCCCTGCTGTATGGTAGGAACACCTGCTGGTGTTAAGCGCGCACTATATTACACAGCCTTCTCTGTATCACACAGACAAACTGACTGACTTACTGGACTGGACTGGACTTGACTGCACTGGACTTGACTGCACTGGACTGCACTGGACTGCACTGCACTGGACTGCACTGGACTGCACTGCACTGGACTGCACTGGACTGCACTGGACTGCACTGGACTGGACTGGACTGCACTGGACTGGACTGGACTGGACTGGACTGGACTGGACTGGACTGCACTGGACTGGACTGCACTGGACTGGACTGGACTGCACTGGACTGGACTGGACTGGACTGGACTGGACTGCACTGCACTGGACTGGACTGGACTGGACTGCACTGGACTGGACTGCACTGGACTGGACTGCACTGGACTGGACTGCACTGGACTGGACTGCACTGGACTGGACTGCACTGGACTGGACTGCACTGGACTGGACTGCACTGGACTGGACTGCACTGGACTGGACTGCACTGGACTGGACTTAACTGGACTGACTGGACTGACTGGACTTAACTGGACTGACTGGACTTAACTGGACTGACTGGACTTGACTGATGGACGGATGGAGGGACGCTTCGCCCCACTCATCATCATTCACTCCGTGGATATGCTGTGAATTTTTTTCACCAATCGTGTTTCTTATCTACGCTGTTTCGCAGGTTGACGAGGCATATAGACCCTTTCACTGTTTTCAAACACAGACCCTGGATGACAGGATGGATGGATGGATGGAAATAACTTTATGTATACGTCCTGTACAGGGTGTAGCCACCTGCTTGGCTAATCCCGCGTTGGGACTGGGAGGTCAAGCCTCCTAGCCCTGTCATGGGCGTACTGGACAGCCAGGACTTGGGGGGGGATATGGTTGTGAAACTTTATCATTCCTGTAAACTGTTCCCGGGAAATGCCACGGCCAAGCGACCCACATTCCCAGAGCATATGCTCAAGCGTGCATAATTCTTTCTTACATGCCTTGCAAACAACATTCATATCTTTTATACCGTACCATTCTTTTACCTGTGCCGGTGAGTAATAAGACTGTC